ATTGCCCTCTTCTTCTTATCTCTCATCATCATGTCACTTACAAAAAAAGAAGAAAGATAAAAAGAATAGGACAATGCAACGGGAGATAAAAAAGTATTTCTCCTGTGGATAGCACATGATTGACATTACGAACTTTGTAGCTTGGTGCTTTGTTTTATTATATTACTGTGTGGAAGTTTGTGAGTGATAATAATTATCTCCTCTTATCTCTCTGAGGCCTCTCGTGACCAAACCCCATGGCTGTTGTATCAGCTCCCCCAGATATCAGACAGCTCTGCCTGATATAGCGATATTTCATCTTAATTATTGCGTTTTATTGATCACCCAAACGAGCAGGGATTTAGTTTTTTTATTTTTTCTATGAAAAATTAATAAGTGGGCACAGTGAGTGTGAGATATGGTGGGAAAAAGCCAATGCCTGGAAAAGTTGCTTTTAGTATAAGTACTTACCAGCTTATTACACTACAAATAGTAAAACGCCAACTACGAGCCTGTCATTTAGCCATCGATACCCGACATGGGGTATATTATTTTTGCATGTAGCTTAGTGCAAAGGGCAACCATGCATTTAAAACACCACCTGCATTTCATTGCATGCACAACAGGTCATGCAAATCTTATCAACTCCTCCTTCATTTCACAGGTGGCATTACAGAAACCTGTCCAGCATCCATCACCTCATTTTACTTTTTACTCACACGTCTAATTTAATATCAAATGGACCACCCGATAGTGATAATTGTTGGAAAGAAAGTTCCCTTTTTCTCTAATTTCTCTCTTGGATGGGCTCTGCCTTTTACAGTAAGACTCATGCCATGCTTTCCACCAACGACATTCAGAGAAAAACACCAGCTAACTTCTACTAATTAATTACTTTTCCGCACATGTGAATTAGGTTAATTCATCATGTAGTGCGCGCTGCCTCTTTGCATTGAGTTTGAATCTATATATTTATCCAATTGGTGAGCTATTTAGTGCCTTAATGGCAGGATTCGAAACCCGTTGGAAGCACTTTGTAGTCAGAAGCAAGCCGAATCCCACCTTTCAAGTGTGTGGGTGTTTACCAAAAAAATATCATTTTGTTTATAATTAAAAAAAAAAACTAATTAACTAGTTTCTGCTTTATGAAGGATTTAATTAGATTAGTTCCAACAATGTGGATCCCATGATCGATGCTGTCGGAATCCACTTGGTAATTACTTTAATTAAACAGAATTAAATGAAATTCTCAGCTTGCTAATCAATTAATGCAACCTGGAATTAGCTGATTTGGCCAGCTATGGCCTTGGTGGGAGCCATGAAATGAAAGTTTAATCTGGACCACATCGATATCGATCGATCCATCACCAAATGCCAATCGGATCCACCCCCACTAAAAAGGTGAACCCATTAGACAAAATGCAGGTCCGCAGGTTTGGTGATCAACAACTGATGAAGTTAATTTAATCACCATAGCCCACCTCCTAGCCCTATGGATCATATGTGACAAAAGCTTAGGTTAAATAAGAATAAAAAAAATAAAATAAAAGTGACAGGAAATAGGACAAAATGTGGAGCGCAATGACATTGCCATCAGCACAATTTGATCATCTTTACTTTATGCAAAGATGGTATGTTTTTTTTCCATAGCAGCCATACATGGTGCTGTTTACACAAAAGATTTATCATATGCTTTTTTCTATAATTATTTATTGGCCCTAGTCACATGAGAAACGCGTTCAGGGTCCCTTGAGTATAATTTGATGGCAGTATATATATCCAACCCGCAAATTGGGGCAGGATAGTGACGTGACGCCATCCCATTGGATATTAAAAGGTGGATCGTTTTGTTTTTATCTTTATACTTTCTTTTTCGGAATTGAAATAGAGGAAGGTGGTGCCGATGTGAATTTGGATTTTGTAGGCAATTTCTTCCCACCATTATTAATCCCCTCCTCCACCCACGATGTTGAGGATTAAAATGTTTCTATCATTCCCCTGTTATATGTGTGTTCAAAGATTGAGTGGTAATTGACAATTATGCATAAAATGACTAAGTGTTGAGAAGTTGAGATATATAACTTCAATAATTACAAGATCCAATTTTCAATAATTACTTCTTCTTTATGCACAAATATCTTAAAGCGACGGAACATGGAACATGATGAGTTGAGCTCGAGAGAATATGAGAGTGATTAGTGCATTACCGTTACCATTGAAGTTATAAACTGATCAAACATTCATTTAAGCCTAAGTACTCTACCAACCTTGAGAGAATTGCAAGGGCCCAACCCCTCTTATTTTTCAGTGATGAAAACTTGTTCACACACACGCTTCCTTTTTCTACAAACAAATTTTGGTTTCAAAGTGAGGTATCCTAAGTATAAACCCAAAAGCCAAAATTTCTTTTTGCTCTCATAGTGAAGAAAAGTAAGACGGGGTTTGGGAGTGTAGGGAACAGAATCTAGCTCTTTACCTACTCCTTTTCCTGCGGAAATTTCAACTTTTAGAGGCCAATGACAAAGATAGAGGACCCTAATATTCAGCTTTTAAAGATGATTTTTCGTTGTAAAACCATATGCTCGTGGGGTTGCTGCAAAAGTCCATAGGTCCCTTGGACTAAAGGGTTCAAAAGCTAGAATGATGCTGAATATTTCAGACACCAGATATGGGTTTTGATTTTATGCTGAATGCAAGACAGCACCACTCTCAAGTCCTTCAACTACTCATTGTCCCCATCTCCTGTATAAAATTTACATTAAATCATTATAAAAAGAAAATTTGATCATAATCATAAAATTCATATGAGGGGAGGAGTCCTAGGTATAGCTATAGGTAGTGCATGTGTTGGCTTTAATTTTACAACTCAAATTGAGTATCTTTGGATGCCATGAAAAGAAGATGAATTGAAAGTGCAGATGACATGAGGAGGGCCGGTTGGCTATTCTCGAGGGAGCGTCCTGATCGTCTTTATTTGCTTTTTTGATAGTGCCTGGAACTGGACCTCCATTCCCAAGAGTGGAGACAAAAGAGTCGTCTGTTTAATCATCAATATTCAACAGCCACCATCTCTTCATTTAGATCATATCATACATTGCATATATATCAATGTTAACTATATATATATGTTTGTTTTCTTGTCATAATAATTTCTTCAAATGCAAACAAAATGTCCTTTGCTAGCTAGAATCACCTTAAATGTGTTATCCGATTATTGTCACATTTCCAATCAAACACGTTTTAGTAACAATTTGACAATACAAAACTAGTTCCTACGATCATGGTAAATAAATTAGACGCGGACAAGTAACTTGCATAAAGAAGACAACAAACAACAATTGATGAATGGGACTTGATTTTACTAAGTCGTCGAAAAGGAAGTTTTACTCTGCCGAAAGCTCCAACTCAGACTGCATTAAAAGAATAATCAGGACAAAGAAAATGATTAGAAAAATACCCCTAATATGGGGTGAGCCATAGACCCCTATATCTAGGGTGCAAATCCTCTTTTTTGGCCTCAAAACATTTCCTAACCCAAATAATTGGTGTTCATTTAGGACAATTATATCTTGCACTCATTCAAGTGCAATTCCTTTATTCAAAGAGAACTCCATCCATGAATAGTGTGTATGAATAGTGTGTATGTATAAGTTTGTTTGTGTGATGAACATGTCTAGTTCTCCCCTGTGTCTTTGTCTGTGTTTGCATGTGAGAACTGCTATGCCAAAAAGAAAAAAGGAAACAATTGATTCCATCTAAGTGCATTCCACATCAATAACCCACAATTGAGAGAAACAATACAAATAACATCCTCAAACCGTCAATTGAACATATTTTACAGAAGATTTTCACACAAGAGTAGGGGCTGGGCTGATGCCTGATGATGCTTTTGTTTAGCAAAAAGCTTCGTCCTTAATCTTGATTTATTAAACTCTAGTTGAGGAGGAATGTTTAATTAATTAGGATAGGAGACACACTTTACACTTGACTTTAGAAATTAGTACAAATTTAGCACACTTTTCTCTCTCTTTTTTTTTTTTGGGGGTGAAGATTTAGCACTTTTCTTTCGTTTTGCCTTTTTCCAATTAACTTTTTCCCTCCCTCCCCTGTGCTGTGGCAGTAAAGTAAAATAGTAATTTAATTATGATATAGGTAAAGTACAAAAACATGTAGGATCTTTGGGGTTAAACAAAATATTGTCTATAAATGCTCAAATGATCAAATCTCACTTCCACTTTTTAGTTTTATTTCTGTTTAAGATTTTGGAGTTTCTATTTGCCATCCATACTTTTTCTCACTTTACCCAAACTCACACATATCTTAATTTTTGTCACAACAGTATAATTCCACCCAATCTCATAAATACTTGCGAAATTCTATGTGCCATATCTGAACTTTTTATGTGGACCTTCATATTTGTCGTAGGATCATTTTATTAAACTTAAGTAAACTATTCAGATGAATCATGTTGCTAATATAAAGGTCCACATCTACGGTCTATATATGACACCCTCACCATATATTGACTTATAAACACTACTTTCATTGATGTCATGGCATAGTTACCTTACCTTCCTTCTAAACAAGACCCAACACCCATCCAACAAGGATCAATCTGGTATGGTCTCCAAGGCCCAATCTCATTTCGAGCCCAGCAGCCTGATCCATCAATTGGATATTGTTTACAGCACAATCTCTCTACTTTTCTTTCTTCCAGCCTGATCCATCATGCATGTCTTTGTTGACATACCACCAAATTTATTATCAAAAGCAAAAAAACCCAAATTTCGATTTCTGGTTTAGTCCCATTTAAAATAGGTCTGTTTTATAGTTTAAAGAAGTGGGTTATCTCAAATTATGGGGAAGAATTTTGTTCCAATTATTTCCAATTCGAGTATTATTCTATATATTATAATCAGTTCACTAATTTTAAGAAATTAAAACTTGCCCCTTGCCACCACTCACAAAGTTAAGCCATAGCTCTTTGAATTAGGGTTTATTCTCATCTCCGTGTGTAGCCCATGGCCGCAGCGAGCTTTCTAGGAACCCACCTAACAATTACTGTCATAGCAACCAAGCTGCACTCTCCTACTCGCCATTGTTCTCTAACTAGAACCCCAAAACCCTCGCGCCTGCTGCCGATGGTAAATAACGGAAGAGCCAAGGGCAAGATGGGAGCGTCGTCGACATTATTCAAGTGCAACAATAGAGATCACACCCACATGGAGATCTATGATTCTGCCGAGGAGGAGAAGGAGGAGGAGGAGGAGCACGAGAAGTTCGTGCGGTGGTTTCGTGAGGCTTGGCCCTACTTGTGGGCCCACCGCGGCGGCACTTTCGTCATCATCATATCCGGCGAAGTTGCGTCAAACCCTAATTACTTAAACCCTCTTCTCAAGGACATTGCCTTTCTCCATCATTTGGGGATCAGGTTTGTTCTTGTTCCAGCCACCAACGTAGAGATCCATAAACTTCTGGCAGGCAGAGGAAAGAAGCCACAGTTCGTCGGTCCTTACATAGTCACCGACCCGGAAACCCTAGAGGCCGCAAAGGAGGCGGCCGGGCGGATTTGTTCTAACATAGAGGCAGTTCTTTCCGCAGCGCCCTCCATATCCAACATCCGACGACGGCATGGCAGCGACAGCAGCCGTCTTCATGACGTCGGCGTGAGCGTTGCGAGCGGCAACTTTGTTGCGGCCAAAAGAAGAGGAGTTGTTGCCGGTGTTGATTATGGGGAAACCGGCGAGGTTAAGAAAGTGGACGTCCGTCGGATCCGTGAGAGGCTCGACGGTGGCGATTGCATTGTGTTGTTGCGCAACATAGGCTATTCCAGTTCCGGCGAATCTTTGAATTGCAACACTTATGAGGTTGGAACGGCTTGCTCCCTTGCTATTGAAGCAGACAAGCTCATCTGCATAATGGACGGCCCGATTCTCGACGACAAGCGTCTCGTTCGGTTCCTCACTCTTGGAGAGGCGGAGGCAGGGGCAGACATGTTGATTCGAAAGCGAAAGCAAGAGCACCACCAAGGTTTAGGTTTTGCTGTTGGGGGTTATGAGAGGCAGCAACAAAGCCATCAGCTAAATGGCTACGTTTCAGAACTGGCTGCCGCAGCCTTTGTTTGCAGGGGAGGGGTTGAGAGAGTTCATCTCTTAGATGGAACTAAAGGCGGGGTTTTGTTGTTGGAGTTGTTTAAAAGAGATGGGGTGGGGACGATGGTTGCAAGCGACGTTTACCAAGGAACCCGAATGGCCACAGAGTCAGATTTCTCTCGAGTGAGAGAACTTATACAAGCTTCTGAAGAACTGGTTAGGAGAAATGATGAGGAGCTGCTTGAGATGATATTGCTGGATTGCTTCGCTGTTGTTGAAAGAGAAGGTCAAATCTTGGTTGCCTAACTAGTTTGGTTGCCTAATTAGTTTGGTTGCCTAACTTGGGGGGCTTGACTAATGTCTTAGGAACTTGTATATATATGTGTTGATTGTAAGGAATGAAACATAAGTGAAAATCAGAAAATATTCTACAACTCTCATTCTCTCTACACTTTCCACTCTCTACTCTCAATATTCTCTATGTTTTAGCATGCCGTCGACAGGGGCAGGGACATAAGCTTCATGATTACATTGAGAAGAAGGCATCTTGTCTCGGATTGGACAAGCTCTTCTTGCTTACAACTAGAGCTGAGGATTGGTTCAAGAGACGGGGGTATTTTGAATGTTCAATTGAATCAATCCCCGAGAAGAGGAGGGGAAAGATTAATCTGTCCCGTGGATCCAAGTATTATATGAAGCAGCTATAGTTTACGAAATGCTTTTGACACGTGAACTGGAGTGAAATCACGTTCACATGATATTATTATATCAAGTTTCCGATGTCATTGATCAACATTAACAATATTAACAATTATTATTATACTAGAACCAGTGGCGGACACATTAAAGGACAAGAGGGGTCGCACGACCTCATGGGAGGTCTGAAATCTGGTTGTGGAGGTCTGATATGACCCTATGGACAGCAGCAGCCAAACCCCATGGATGCACAGATGGTGCTCGATGAAAGGTCCAAAGGCCTTGCAGGCAGCTGTTGTGCAGCGCGAGGTTCTTTTTTTGGGTCCAGGCGCATTCAAATTACCTTCAATGACCTGGATCGTTTTGAGCCAGGCTTTGAAGCCGAAAAAACAGAAACCCACCCCCATGTTTACCCG